ATTCAATTATATTGACATTTTCGACTAATATCGTGGTGAGCTAATTTTTTTACGTATATAAGAGAGAAACGAAAGATGAGTGAATAATTCATTCGTGAACAGTATAAATAATTTTGGAATGGGGTAAAAATCTGAAAGGAGAATAGAGACGGGGTGGAATTTTAAAATTCGAATGCCAGTGAAAATGTGGTCCTGGAAAATTTCCTAATAGCAGCAACGATGTATACGGAGAAATAAATTTGCGAATGTTGAAACGTCGAAATATCGTACAAACGATGGTAGAAGGGCGGATAATTTTTAAACAGCACGAAAATCTAGAGGGATGATGGAATTATTTATGAAAAGGGATAGATTTGTAGATATTAGACTGTTGAATACGCCAAATGGTGAAATTCTGGATTATTTCGAAACGAGTGAATAATTCATTCGTGAAAAGTATAAATAATTTTGGAAAGGGGTGAAAATAGGGTGAATTATCCATAATAGACTCGCGAATATTAGGGTGTCGAATGAAAGACAGTGGGGTTGCGAATAATTTGTCTAGATTTGTCTAAACATCTAATAGACTGACAAAAATTTCTTTCACAGTTTCCTCAGAGAAAATCGAATTTTCGAATTACCCGCGATGAAACAGGCTCTCAAATTCCGAAGTATGAAAATTAATCGAAGATAAAGCGAGTTTAGCTTTAGCAGGGACGAATGGCGACGCTGGGCCAGCAATTACGCACCGCGAGGACCATAACTCAGCGAGTCTAACCCGAATCCCTATAAAACAGGAATCCTAGAAACGCAACCGCGCTTAATTGGCAATTATGCTCGCGCTTATTCATACTCAGCGCGGCCGGTTGGTTTTTCAAGAGAATTTTCAGAGAGAAAGCCAGCGACCGCGGGAGAGGGATTTTTCGAGAAAGCACTCGCATCGGGTCATGTTCCTTGTTAGCGAACCGGTGGACAGGTGCATCCTCTCTCCTCCTCTCCCCGCCTCTCTCGTCGTCTCGTTCGCTCTCGTCTTCTTTGCGTTCTTGCGACGCTTAAACACGCGGCCAACGATCACGATAATGTCTTCATCTCTCGCTTTCCGCGACCGCTGGATTGCTCCGCGCCGCGAATCCCGCTTCTTATCTTCGCCGTGCTTTTTTGCGATAATAGCGCGTGTAATTCTAGCGGCTGGCAAAAAGGCGCGGGGAGAAGGGGAAATTGATACGACACCGCGTTGAAAGGGCCCCGAGAGCCCTCCGCATCGTTCCCGCCACTTCAACCGCCCCTGCGAATTTTTAACCCTTTGCGGACGAGTGCTACATATATGCGTGTAGCGACCATCATTCTCACCCTCGCCACTAGATGGATTCCGACTTCGAGGACTTTCTCGCAAGTCCTCGGAAAACCTCCAAATCCTATATATAGGATTTAATAACTTATAACTTCCCGTCCTTTCAATAGTATCCCAATAGTATCCTAATAGTATCCTTTCAACGATATCCTAAGGCAGGGTCTGTTAGGGTAGCCTTACTGATGAGACAATTTAGCAGGCCCTGGACGAAACGCATCCCTTCCTTTACCTAGCATCCCTACTAGTTACACACCACGACTCTAAGGATACCTGCGACCAACCCGACATCTACGACCATGGGGTAGGGCCCCCACATGCGTTTTATGAAAGCCATCAGTTTGGCCGAGGAACGCATATACATATGCGTTCGACGAAATAAAACGATAGGGTCCAGAGTCGCAATAGAGGTATTCCACGTAAACGCGTTGCTATGTCTGAGAAACACGTATATGCGCCCATTGTTGCGGCCCTAGGACCCTCGCATCCCAAGTTAAGTAGTGGATCGTTTCATGTCCTTATTGTCAGTGTTGCTATGAACGAAAATCGCGTTTAAGCAGAAGTGAGCACTGCTAGTTTCGAATGACATGATCTTGGCAGCGACTCGGCCCACGGTACTTTCTCGCAAGTCCTCGGTGAAGCCTCGAGCTCCTTTAAATAGAAGTTCCTATGCCACCTAAGTATCCCGAGTCTAAGACAGGGCCTGCTAGAAGAAAACCTTACCGACGAGTCCACTAGCAGGCCCGAGACAAAACGTATCCCTTCCTTTTCCTGTCGTTCTTCTACTTGCTACCTCGTCAATAGCACCAAGCGGATACCAATATGCCAGCGCCATTAGACACCAGCCTATCATCAGGACCCACATGTCAGCTCAGAGCAAAGAAGTCAATTTGTGTCAAACGCGAATACATCGAGTCAACTATTGTACTTTATTGCACTACTACGTTTATTATTGTACTCCCTTGGAGACAGAATATTTGGAAGTGGTATCCACCCAAAACCTGATATCCATTTCCTACATCCACTTCGAATTTTTAACCACGCTTTTCCGATTACCCTGTAATTTCGACGACGAAATTCACCGGAAAAGTCTCACACTCACCGGTGTAAAACGAATTCCCGTAAACGGGAGTATCGTATGATTATTCAGAAATGTGATATTAGAAAGAGTCTCAGAGGGTAGTTCCATAGTTCCGTTCGATTCGGAGGATGACTGGCGAAGGAAGCTCAAGACGGGGTGAAATATCGAAGCAACCGGGATTCGACGGACCCAGAGGGCGAGGCGAGAACAGCAACGTGGCCCTTGAAAATAATATACGTCGCTAATTTGCTGCACGAGCACCGACTTCGACGCCACCCCCCTTGGGGGTGGTTTCGCGAGCGGAGTTTCGTGAGCTCCTTAATGAACCGAGTTCGCGAGAACCATTAATAACCAAGTTCGGGGAACAGAGAAAACTGTAACCAGAGGACACGCGGAGTACCCGGGGGGTTGAAAGGGGTTACCTTCGTGGAAGGAAGAATTTCCGTGTTGGAACGACGGAGGACAGGAGGAAAGACTCTGTGGCGGTCCCCCCACGGGAGGTACGGCGTCTTGTGGTTCGTATGGTACTGCCTGTTGGTATCCTGATGGCCGTGTTGCTGTGATAGGTATGATTGGCAGCATTCGCTTTTTCCAACTGACTGTCTATGTACAGTCAGGTTGGATGGAAAAAGCGATTGGTAAGATCGACGTGGTTAAGTCAGGATTAGATCGCATTTCGAATTTTTAACGCATTTTCTTATTAGATTCGTCGATTTGCGATTGTAAACTATATTTATGTCACAACCTAGGTTATTATATTTGTGCCATTACCAAAATATAACGACACTCTAACAAACTTCCAGATATGGAAATCGAAAGCATAAGAATTACGAATCTTTGAAATATGGGGTGCTCCCCACGGGGATTTTCATGAAGTTTCTTTGTGGTTCCTATGGTGTTGTCTGTTGGTATCCTGATGGCTGTCTTGCTATGACTGTAGTAAGTAGAAGGACGCAAGAAAGGGATGCGTTTCGTCCTGGGCCTGCTAGTGGACTCGCTGATAAGGCTTCCTAGCAGGCCCTGTCTTAGACTAGGGATATTTAGGATAGGAACTTGCATTTATGAGAGTCTAGGATTCACCGAGGACTCGCGAGAAAGCTCGAGCCTCCGTTTCCTATCTAGCGACGAGGGTATGAACGTTGGTCGCAACGACTCGTTGGACGAAAAGCAGAGAATCGCGGCGATCTTGGGAAATCACGGAGACGAGGAGGACGCGCGAGGGGTGTCTGGCAGCCCTAATGCGACGTATCAATATACGTGGGTGCCAGTGATGGGCCAATATCGCATAAGTGGCCCGATTCACCGTCATTTGTTACGTTTTGTTCGGTCTAAGTAATTTAAGAGTCACCCTTTGCCTCGCCACCCTCTCTGGCCACGGCAGAGACGAAGAAGAAGGGAGAGGTCGGAGGGGGGAGGGCTGGTCGACGAACAGGGACGAGAATCCTTGAAGCGGAGCTCGGAGGTGGGGCAAGCTAGAGGGTGGCTGACTGTACTTCGCCTCCATTCTTCGGCAAATCGCGGCATATTTGTCAGATTTTTGTTCGAGAACAAAACCTTCACGACCTTTTCTTGCCTCGGGGTGGGCCGGGCTTAAGGGGGTTGGGAGTTAAGTGGATTGGTTTCGTCGGAGATCGGCGCGAGTGTCTGAACGCGACCGACTTAATTCTAGCCTTCCTGCCAGACACTTGATTTCGCGACTTCCGATCCGTCGCGATCATACTTGTCGCTTCAAACACTGCTATTTTATTTTTTCCTATTTCTCTTTTCGTGCGGGCGAATTCTGAATAAGCGAGGCGTTTCATTGGCTTTTCCCCATATTGAATTTTCGAAGAAATCGAAGAATTCGGAGAATTCAAAGAATTCGCAAAATTCGATGGAATTGAAGAATTCGAAGAACTCGAAGAATTCGCAGAATTCGACGAAATTGAAGAATTCGCAGAACTCGACGAAATTGAAGAATTCGAAGAACTCGAAGAACTCGAAGAATTCGCAGAATTCGCAGAATTCGACGAAATTGAAGAATTCACAGAACTCGACGAAATTGAAGAATTCGACGAAATTGAAGAATTCAAAGAACTCGAAGAATTCGCAGAATTCGACGAAACTGAAGAATTTGCAGAACTCGACGAAATTGAAGAATTCGAAGAACTCCAAAAATTCGACGAAATTGAAGAATTCGAAGAACTCGAAGAATTCGCAGAATTCGGCAAATTCAAAAAATTCGAAGAAATCGAAGAAATCGAAAAATTCAACAAATTCAAAGAATTCAAAGACTTCGAAGCAGTTTTCCGAGTCCTTTGTAAAGGAGAACGACTCGAAGAACACTTTAATATCAACGGAATAGGGATGCTATGGTAATTAGACCCGATGTACATAATTGGAAGAACATTCAGAGGGTTAATCGTGTAAACCGAGTAACTCTCGGCAGTTCCGTAACACACTGGTCCGTGGATATCCACGATTTCAGAAGGATCGAGATGAGAATTGTAAATCAGGATAGGGAGCTGCGACGCACGGTCAAGCGATTTCCAGCGGGATGTCTGAAAGCGTGCAGGAAGATTTGTTTAAGGCGTGTGTTAGTCTTTCACTCACCCTTGAAACCCTTTTCCGGAAAGGTGGACTCGGGGTTGTTCGCATCCGACGTGACGTCCGCTTCGTTTTCTATCGGCGTGTCGATCTGAAGTGAGACGAAGTTTTCGTTATTATTGGCAGTTTCGATGAAAATAAATTTAAACGTTAAAATTCCTCGCAGGACCTCGCAAATCTAATCACGCCCCCCCCCCCCAGAATTCTAGAACATTTTTAAAAATCCGATTTACGTACGAAATGAACGACTGTACGGATTTATCGTGCGAAGGAAATAATCGTGAGATCGTTCCTCTGGAAAGGAACGTCTGAAAGAGGGAAAGGAGACGAAACGCGTCGGATTTTAGTAATGCACATAAAGGACACGTGTGAACAGCTGCGAACGTTCGTGCGACGTTCGTCTTCCCACGCGTCTTCGTGGATCACACGTGGGATCTCGGAGTATTCCACATGGAACACGGGCCACGTGGATCTCGATCCGTTCGTTTGGTCGTGCATTACCGAACCTTCGCAATGGGAGAGAGCATTTATTTGCTTTGGACCGAGCGATCTTCCCTCCATAAACTCCCGAACCCAGTAGTTAAGAGGAACCATTTTTTCCGCGGGAATAAAAATGAAGGTTCCAAGGAGAGGACGCGTATCCTTGGTCGAGGTTAAATCTCCGCGACGCGAGATCGCGGCCGAGAGACGGTACAGAGAGAAATGGGGAGAAAGGGGGGGAAAAATACTTTCGCTGTAAAAAGGCGAGACGAGTTGGATCGCGATGGAACGATTTCTCAGAGAGACGAGTAGGTTTCGCGTAGGTGTAATTATGTCTGTGGAACCCCTTTTTCCCACAGAACTAAATATAGCAAGTGTCATCCGATGGCCTGGACACACATGTCTCGTAAAGCACGGCCACATCTGGTCGCTGTTTCCTGCTGGCCGTGGCATCTTCTGCGATATGATTTATTTTCCAGCCAACGAGTCCCAGAGATTCACCGTGCGTTAGATCACGTCACAGTCAATGACCAGAGCCGAACGAGACAGCGGTAATGACAGCGATGGATCCTCCGATCGAAACAATCCCACGTTGCATCGAGAACGACTAACGTGACTCACGAACCGGAAGAAAGCATTGGGAAATCTCTTCCTTGCTTCTACCTCCAAAGAAATAGCATTCGACGAAGCGAAATTACCAAGGGAAGATGACCAACGTAAGATCCAAGAAATGGATCGTGCATCCTTAACCTTTTCACTCCTAATTTATTAAGAAAGTAGCAAACACCCTGTCTTTTATTAATCTAACAAATTGAGCAAAATTTCTCTCTTATCCTGTGAAATCACAGGACACGTCAGAACAGTTGAATTACGTTCAGAAATAATTTTCTAAGCTCTAACAGCTTCGAAATCCATGGACGTTTCACCCTTTCACCCCTAAATTATGAAGAGTAGCAAACACGCCCTGTTTTAAATTAATTTAACAAGTTAAACAAAATTTTTCTCTTATCCTGTGAAATCACAGGACACGTCAAAACAGTTGAATTGCGTTCAGAAATAATTTTCTTAGCTCTAACAGCTTCGAAATCCATGGACGTTTCACCCTTTCACCCCTAAATTATGAAGAGTAGCAAACACGCCCTGTTTTAAATTAATTTAACAAGTTAAACAAAATTTTTCTCTTATCCTGTGAAATCACAGGACACGTCAGAACAGTTGAATTGCGTTCAGAAATAATTTTCTAAGCTCTAACAGCTTCGAAATCCGTGGACGTTTCACCCTTTCACCCCTAAATTAAGAAGAGTAGCAAACACGCTCTGTCTTGAATTAATTTAACAAATTTTACTTTTGTTTAAATCTAATGAAAACTTAATCGAAATATAATATCACGTATTATAATCTTACCTGAGGTGATAAAAATGAATACAGAAGTTCAGAAGTCGCTAAATATTTTATTTGCAAACCCTGGCAGCAGAAAAATCTCGAACCAAGAGAACGTGAAATACATAGTCTCGCAATTTTGTTGACAGAGGGCAAAATAATGCAGGGATTTTATTGACAAAAATTTCTCTCTTATCCCAAGAGATGGCAGGACACGTCAGAACAGTTGGATTGCGTTCAGAAAAAATTTGCTAAGCTCTAACAGCTTTGAAGTCCACAGTCCGGCAGCCATATTGTATCGTAACGTCATATAGCGTCTGCAGGAGTACAAGGGTTAATCTTGACACGAGATCTATGGAAAACGTAAAACGAGGAAAGGTGCAGGAGTTAATGGACTGAAATTGTCATCGGGAACTATCGAAAACGGAACTTCAGTTCCGGATCATCCGTTAGAACGCATCAGAAGCATTAACACTTGGACTACCATGCACCTTTTACATAGTACACTCAGTAGACCACGATAAAATTTCCATTATTCTTAGGATATAATGACGAATTGTCAAACAATATGGCAAAGGAAAAGAAAAATAGTGCAAATTATTAATATTTTCTATCCAAAGTTCTCTATTCATTTACGTTGTTCAAATATTCAAAAATTGATTGGAGTAAAGCAAATATAAATTTTAAAAATTAGTGACCACTACAATTAAGACACTGCTGACCACCATAACCTCGTTGAGGAGACCAACATAGGTCACTGATGATTACCATGGCAGTCAACGTGTTAAACGACGACGAAACGGAGCAAGAACCTAGCAGCAGAAACTACCAAGTTGACATGACCAACGGAAATCATACAAAATCGATGGGAAACAACGAAACTCGGAGAAACAAGATCACACCGCGGAGAAATGTCCAGAAGGAAGTATCCGTCCTCCAAAGATCGATCCTCTATTCCCGATCTCGGAGCAGGATCCACCCAGAGGGTTAAACGTTCGCAGAAAGCAAGAAGGAACGTGCAGAAGCTGACGGATCGAGGTCACCAGCATCAGGAATTCACGGTGCACCGCGAGTTCCCCGAAGTTTCTTTCTTTCATCTCCGAAACATTATTCTCAGGCCTAACAGCGGGCCCCGTCCCCGGAGATGGGAACAGAGGAACGGAGGGACCAGAGGGGCCAGGTAAAGAGCGTCTACGCGCGGCCAGTTTTGAAATGCTCGGCAATATAGTGAGTTCGTTACGAGGCTCGCCCCGACGTGGTATGGCTCATAATTGTAGAGCTGGCTTTCGAGCTGCGCACCTTCGGGCAGGCTGCGCCTCTCGGCTGACACCTATTGTCCGCAGGAAAATCCCCTGGACTCGGCAAATCCGCCGATTTTGCGTGAAATACCCCCTTCCGGGTACCCCGATCACAGATCCCCTGCTCGAGAACACCTCCACGATCGTCCTCCCTTGGAAATCTCACTCCAGGACCCGTATGAGCCACGAAGAGGAGGAAGAAAAGCTGCCGGGGAACGGACAAAATATTTCCGGACAGAGGATGAAAATTATTAGCCCGAGAATGTCTTAATCCTCGACAGCGGAGCGAAGACTCGCGGTGTTCGGCTTAACATAAATTTTTTCCCCGTGGCCTGTTCCACGGAGAAACGCGAGGATGCGCGGCCTGTAAGTGGTGCAACGCGAGCTGCACACCGGTGCATAATGCATGCGAGGCGTCGAACGGCGTTTACCGCGTTAGGGTAGACCACGGTTTTTGCCACAGACTTCGTCCTACCTCGACACCTTATCACGCGTGAACCCCGGCTGGCAGAAAATTCGTCGCCCCCTGCTAATGATTTCTCCCGTCTTTTTTCCTAACCTAACCTAACCCCCCTGAAAACGAGACGCCTTTTATCTTCTCAGCCAAGCTATTCTACCCTGAAGGAGAATCGACAGGACGAGGCAATTTTTGGAACAACGGCCCGGATCGAACGTCGCGATGACACCGTAGAATTTCTTGAGGAACAGCTTCCAGCTTCTCATCCACGATGCGTGTGTTAAGTTATTCCCAGGCTGTCTCGAGTTATTTATCCCGCTACGAGGGTGAGTCTCACCCCTTCCCGTCACCGCGTCTTAATACGCGCGCTGAGTAAATAAACCCGCTGTTCCCCAAACCCTCAGACACTCGTTCGAAAATTAAATTAATCCCCTGCAATCTTGGTACCCTGGATCCAGGTCGACGATCGTCACAGCGAGTACGAGTATAGATCGTTTTCCGATCTTCGAATTTGGTGGAATTTCTATCATAACTGGAAGCAAAAGAAGCTTGCAAAGTTTTCCCAAAATAGATCAAAATCTTCCAAAGCCTGAGCGGAGAATATTCTGGCAGGATTTCAAACGGTAAAACTGCGAAGGGGTGGAACGAAAAGAGTAGCGAGATCGGAAGGGGTGAGAGAAAGGGTGGCGAGTGATGGACGTGGAAGGAGGAAAATTGTGGGACGAAAGAGAGCGGAAAGCCACGGGAGGACTTAATACGGAGGAAGTTAGGTGGCGGAAGACCGCACGGTGTATAAATTCAAAGTAGATTAATATTATCCCCGCGGCTGTCGCGGCGGCAAACTTATGGCGCTAATTCGGCCGACGAATTATTACTCGGCGCAGCCTCCAGTCAGCCCCACTGTGTGTTTTGCCAAAACGGGGGCTGTCCTGTCGTTAATAGAAGTCGTACGTGCTCCACCGGGCCACGGCTAGACGTGTCGGATATTAGTGCTTCCTCTATCTCGAATTCCGACCGTGCCGGGTGATACACGGCTGATCAACGGTATTCCGCCTTTGCGCTCAACGGGAACGACGTTCCGAGTCGATTCGACGAACGTAAGAACGGGGCAACGGGAAAATGGTGCACGGTGCTGATAAAAAGAACTCGCGTTGTCATTCTAATCCCTGGATACGAGGATCCGAGGTCTTGGACGGTCTCTTAAGGAAATTAAGGGGACCCTGCATTGTCTCTGGCCTCGCGGAAGCTTCTCGAGGAGAAGCGTAGACAACAGCTGTTTAGCATCCCCGATGAAAAAGCCGGGCCGGTAATTATTCAAATTATTTCGAAGAGAGGCCACCGCGGCGGATGTCTTTATACTCTGCCGAGTCTAACGGGTGTGAAGGAAGTGCACAGTGGACCAGTCTCATGGGAAAGGAGGGAAGAGCGAAATGACTCACAACGGACACTCTGTGCGCGAGTCTGACCGTCCAAGAG